CTTCGGATGGAAGCATATGACTGTGGCAGTGTAGGTCTCGAAATCCGGGTGCTTTCGCTGGCAGTAGATTTGCCCTTAAAAATTAAATTTTGAAGAGTTTTAGCCAGGACTATTGTTCGTCGTCGGAAAGAAATAAAAATAATCGCTCAAATGCGTAGGCTAAAAACAATAGCCTTTCATCGACAAAATTCGATAAGAATCGGAGAAATAGGAAAATTCGATGTTTTAGTTTAAATCGAAAATTGGGGTGACCTACGGTTCGTCAGGAAATGCCCCAAGGCTACGGTTCGTCAGGAAAAAATACCTTCCTGACGAACCGTAGATGTTGTTTTTTGCCCCGTATGGGTTAGGGTAACCCTAACCCTAACCCTAGCAAGAAGAAAAGGCAGGTGAAAATTTTCTAATCTTACTGCCCCTAACCACGGGGCTTCGCCCCTTAGGTCCTTAAATGCCGGGGTCTAGTCATGGGTTACTAAGGGTTACCTTCAGTAACCCTAACTAACTTTACCCTATCACCCTCGGGTAAATTATTCTGTCATTTTTCCCCGTGTCCCTAACCCTAACCTTAATTTAACCAGAAGTAACAATCGGGAAGCGCTCTGTTTGTGTACCAAATAGGGTTGGAAAACAAGAGAGTGCATATGCGCTCCGCGCCTGTCTTGTAGAAAACTATGAAAAAATATGTCAGTCAATCAGCAAAACAACGGAAAATATGTTCAAAAAAGTCTTCATGATACATTTGAAATGTAACATTTCAGAAATGACCTAACTAGGAGAAAAGTCTCCTCGTGACCGCATATCACCTCTAAAACTTGGTAAACAATCGAGTTTCTAGAACGATATCCTCTCAACTACGGTTCGTCAGGAAAAAAAATACCTTCCTGACGAACCGTTGTTTTCCTGACAAAACGTAGGTAACCGGAAAATTGCTGTTACAAATAAAGAATGAACAAACATTTTCCTTTGACAGATTCGTTAGAACAACAGAGCTGAGTGCACTTCTCGTTATATTCATATCTTTTAGAGAAATTTAATTTTTAAAGATGATGTTCAACCGAATTCAGTAAGACACAGTTATTTCTCTCTTTTGTGGACATTTTTTGTCCCCATTTTTCGGAAAAATGTCCACAAAAGTGGACAAGAGCTCCAGAAAAAAAGTCCCGCCATAGACTATGGCCCATAGTCACTGAAAATTTTTTTATACATACGTTTTTATGGACAAATGGGAAAATTAATCGTCGAAGCGCTTTTTTATTGATTATATTTCGCCTTTTTCATAAGAATGCCTCTTAGAAAAAAAATAGGTTTTTGACAAAATATGCAACTTTTGCGTCACAAATTTTCTGACGATTCATTACGAAAGATGACCTCTGCTTTTGAAAGAATGACATCAGTCGTTACGCACAATTCCGGAACGCACAATTCCGGACATTTAGGGAAAACGGAAAGAATTAAAAAATGCACAATTCCGAACAATTCGACAAAAAATTTTAACTGAAATTGCGAAAAAACTAAGAATGCTTGCTTATTTCTTCGGCTTTTCTGGGTTCTGTTGAGGTGCAATTTCCATGGCTTCTTATGGTTGTTCATCGACTTGCTCGCGATCATCGCCAAGATCAAGTTGCGCGAAATCCCGGGCCATAAGCAGCTTTTCTTCCACTCTTACAATCTGTTGGCGCTGGAGCTCTTCATCTTCATTCTCGATAGGCGCTTCCTAAATTGATAAATTAATAAAGAAAGTTATTAAGTTCAAATTTTACCTTATACTTTTGAAATCAAGGAATGCCGGATTTTCGCCAATATGTCCGTATTTCTTCCCGTAATGTTTGTTGACTTCCTTGTATCCGGCGCCAGCTTTGATAAATCTACAGTAAAACTGCCTTCGCTTGAATTCTTAATCGACACGGGTAAATCCTTGCCGTTTTCTTTGCTGTTTTCTCGACATTTTACGTTTTGAATGAAAAACAAGCATTTTGATGACAAAAATATTTTTCCATCTAGAATCCGCACAATTCCGGACATTTGGCCCTTTTTGCTGAAAAAAAAATTCCGGAATTGTGCGTTACGACTGTATAAGTAATAATGATAAAAAAGCAAATTCTTACTGAAAACAAATGGATCTACCAAAATTTAATAACACCGACAGTAGTGACGTTTTGGTTGATAAGGCTACCGCGTTACTCAGATTGGGAGGAACTCGATCTGAGAGAGTCATGGTTTTGTATTTGAATTCTTAATTGCCTGAAGATGTTCAAGATTTGGTCATCAAAGAATTAAAATAACTCACTACAGTAACGGTAGCCGATTTCGCTGACATTCTCCGTAGATGTACTAAGGTGGATGATGGGGTTATGGCCAGGACGCTTCAGGAACTTATTTTCGATCCGGCAAAATTCTCCAATTTCCAATCCATCGGATATATATCCGGGAAAGCACTTGTAACGAACCACGAGGGACGAATTTAAAGCTTTTCAGCTCCAAGCGACCAACATCTGCATAGATAATTTTCTGGTCGATTATGCTAGAATTCGCTCAGTAAGCTCAGATAGAAAATATTTTTCCTACTGGAAAGTTTTGTTATTTTTTCTCACAAACTTCTTTTGCCTTGCATCCCATCTTTACTGTTTCAAGGCCAAGTTACTTTTACTAAACAGTAATGAAACACTTCTGGATCCCAATCATAGAAGTGCAAAAATATTAATCCAAAATTCGCAATTTCTGAAAATTTTTTTTATCGTTAAGGATACCCTTAATCTAACCGGAAATTATAATTTTCTTCTGGTACAGGCAATGAGGCGCCTGGAATTTTGTGATATTAAGGCTATACTAACATTTTGGTCATTCTGAAATGGGTTAATAGTTCCGCCAGCAGAAAGGCGATTAAAAACACTTTTTTCTGTTTATTTATAAATTTTTGCGAAGATGCAATGGGACGGAAAAATATAAATTTTCGGTTTTGACAAAACATCGTAAACGTAATATTTTCGATAATCTAAAAATGCAGTTATATCAAGCTTAAACTGCCATTCAAGAATCTTGAAAAAATTTTGGTTTTTACGATTCTAGTGCCCAGGCGGCGAGATCTAAGAAAAAGTTACGAACTCGCCTAGGGACCAGGAGTACTTATTTTTCGGATTTTTTGGGCTCAATTATTCTCTATGATCCGAGGATTGTCATGATTGCTTCAGATCGAAAATTACTTATCGCAATTCGTAGATATGATCAAAACAAATTTTTATTAGAAAAATGATAAAAGTCGCAACTTTACTCAATTTCAACGCTTTATGAATGGTAAAACTAATTCAAATATAGTTTTCTATCTAACTGGACGGAAATTCAACTTCCGGTTTTGATTATCTTTGATTCTAGAGCCAAACTTTCGATTTTTGATCGGAATTTTTGACAGATTTTAAATAAAATTCTTCAAAATCAGCATCTTATTAATGACAATAATGATTTTTATCATAAATTTGAACAAGGATAATGATAGTCTTTACGGATTATCTGTAAATTCACCGTTTGTTTCCCGCCCGCGGCGAGCGCTCTCCTCCTAGTGCGCCCTCTTTTGAAAGATTTAAGCAGTCGAGAGTCCTTTTGATTATTAAAACTCAAGAATAATTTTTCTTTTACGAAGACAATAAAACCCAGGGGTTTCTTTATCGACATTTTAGGCGCTTTCAGTCAAAGTTCAAAATAACTTATAAGAGGGACTTTGGCTCAAAATGCTGAAAATGTCAATAAAGAAACCCCTGATAAAAATTATGTAAATTCTTATAGAAATATATTTACTCAGAAAATGTTCCAATGTCTCAGTTGCAGACGAACATTCAACAATTGGTCAGCAACTCCTTGGACTTGCAACTATTGTCATTCGAACTTCGTTGATGAAACAGAAGCACAAGATACAGTTATTATCGAACCTACCCATATGGTAGCCAGGCCAGTCCAAGAGAATGATTTTTCAAATCTCCGAACGCCAATCAGAGAGCGTGGAGGAATTCGCGGGCCTTGCCGACCTTCGAACGCGCGTATAAATACTTCCCCACAGTTATGGGTGGATAACAAACTGTTATTAACAATGGCTTTATAATTTCGAGAAATAGCGCACCAGCAAATGCAAATATTCCATTATTATCTAGAAATTCTAGAGCTCAATTACCACGGGCTTACACACTTGATAAATTACTCGAACACATGACAATAAAAAATCTTCCGGAAAATGACGACAATAACTGTAGCATCTGCCTGGAATGCTTTATTGAGCCGCCAACATTTCTGAATAATTGTCAGCATTTCTTCCACAAGAATTGCATTGAAAGATGGGCAGTGCAAAAGCCGACATGCCCTATTTGCATTAAAAATATCGTGAATGGAAATCTTTTCTAAAAATTTTTTTCATAATGCTGAATAAACAAAATTTCAAAAAATTTTCTTAGTCAGCAAAATTACCAAAATATTGATGAGTCAGCAAAAATTTCTGATGAACCAGCAAATTTTTCTGATGAGTCAGCAAAATTTCACAATGAAAATTGTCAAGTCAGCAAAAACTCAACTAGTCATCTACCTTTGACGACAATAGTGAGTCAATGATATCTTATCGACAACGTGATTCGATTCAAGGCAGATTCAGTATTTACTCAGAATCAGGTCTGATCCTGAAGGTTGAAGTCATTCGTCATCCTCAATATTGCAATAGTGGACAATGACTAGAAGAAAAATGCCAGCAAAGCTCACCAATCAGCAGACATTCACAGACGATAAGTAGGCTTTTGCTGATACAGGTTAAAACCGAGCGGTGACTCGCGAGACATTCACCTCAGGCAAAAGTCATAGGGCGTGCCTGAGCAAAGCAGCCCCATTGAGTGACTTAAGAGCGCCATTAGGGCGCCACAAAAAGCAATATATAAACGAACGAAATTCTAGTTCATCCATCATTCACTATGAATAAAGAACAAGATCAGAAAAATCTTCCCTCTTTGAACAAACCTTCAACCGAAAAGATGAACGAAGAAAACCCTGACAAACCTGGAATGGAAAGCAATGACGAACTCTTCATCGACAACGGCAGCGACGAAGAGTACGAACTTATCGAGAAAGATTCCGAGATTGACGTCGACGAAGTGCTGCCAAAAACTCCTCCAAACACTCCACGACCGAGTCAAGAACGTCATGCAGAAAACCAATTCTTCCCAGAACCAAGGCCGAGCAGCAGCAGCTCGCCATCGTCTATCAGGGTTAATATCGGTTCAGACATCGAGGGCCGCGAGGTCGAAATCCTCGATGAGTTCGAGTCCCTCGAGGACCCTCCGATTATTAATGATGAACTGGCAAACAATGACGAATGGGATTTTGAGCCTGGTGCTGAAACTAATGATGTAAGTGAACCTTTGCTTAAAAGGACCAGAAAGGTCGAATTCGCCGACCAATCCACGATAAGAAAATTGGAGCACCACCTTGGCTCAGGACCACGCCACAAATATCAGCGAAACGAGCTGTTAAAACTTAACAATCCTAACAAGAAAGCACGCTTCAACTGCTGCGGTCAACATTTCCACGGACCTGACCGAAGCCATAGCCCTTTCCCGAAATTAAAAAAAAACATCCGAAAAAAAGCTCCTCCCAGTAGAAACTTCAACGAAAAACGAGCATTCTGGAGACGCCAAGAAAAACTTCCTGCCCATAAGCGACTTCCCAAAATTGGCAGTGAACTTGATCTGACCCACCGCTACACAATCGTCAAGCCTGAAAACCGAAGTTACTTGCGTAACGCCCTCAAAGGCGGACTTTGGCATCACATCGAGGACGCTTTAGCGAAAATTGATGACGAATGTGAATCCCTTACTACAAATCTCGTCAAGGAACTCAACAACTATGTAAAGAACTCGATGAACAAGGGTACTATTCCTCGTCAAATAATCGGATACAATCTCAACATGTTCCCGAGATACCACAGAGCGTCAGTCAGCGCTGTTCTCCTCGCTTCACCAGGCGACTTGTTACACTATTTCAACTACCCGTCGATTTCGTACCAAATGAACAAAACAGTCAACGCATCTGAAATTTGGAACCGAATCCCTTCAAAGAACAAAATCGTCGTGTATCGAATGGCCCTCGAGGCCGGTGCTTGCTTAATTGAACGACAAACTGACCGACAACGATAATTCTTTATAGCTCATGGATACATCATCACTATTCTTCTACATTACTCATGGATACATCATCACTTTTCTTCTACATAACTTATGGATACATCTCTAATAACGGAAAACAATAGCTTTTGCTTCATTGAAACCACAACTGAAAACGATTCTCGACCGACACGCTTATGCCGTCGATTTTCGCTTTAAACATAAATCATGCTATAAACTCATGCTATAGAACGCCGCTTCTGTGATTCAATTTCCAGCCCAGTTTCGTGTCATCCCTGAAGATAACCCGACTTCCTCGGGGGGAGGGATGATAGCCCAATTAGTCAGAGCTGACACAACATCGCGCACCATCACGATCCTTTGGCCTATTCAACATCATCGCACTCCAAGATGACTCGATGCGCGCAGCGCCCCATCAGCCTTGTTGTGATTAGGCTCCGAGTCAGAGCCGAGCTGACTGATCATCCTGATGGCGCTCGCCAAGCAAAACCTTCAACACTGCAACCATGCCTCAATCGCCACCGATCCTGATGAACACTCAGGTTGGCGCCAAAGATAACGTTATTCACTGTTCGTACTCTTTCGCCACCGTTTTTGCGCCATTTGACTGACTATATAAGGGCCGTGAAACTGGAATAAATCAATTAATTATAACCAACCAAAAGACTCTCTTACTTCTAAACTACTCTACAACCGCAACAGCAACTTTGCAGACAACAACTGGAAGGCCTAGAAGGCTTCCAATCTAGTTCTTGAAGGTTCCTTCTTGAACGTTTGAACACTAGTTGGTCACAGGACTTGCCCTCTGGCTTGTCAGATCCCTAGTATTACAGGCACGGCAACGTTATTTCTCTTCACCCAGTACTGACCTTAGGGCTTGTACTGTTACGGAGGGAACCTGAAAAATTAAGCACAAAATAAAGATAAGCCGGAAAATAAATATGCATTTGGGAAAGCCTCCAATGTGTTTATTTTTGTTTCCGATTTATATTCTGCTTCCAGTAGACGGTCTTCTCGTTGAAGAGTCCTCCAGGGCTTATCCGGGAGGTCCTCCGGAAAAATCAGGGAAAATTTTGTATGATTGTATTGAAGAAATAAGGCTTATTTATCTTGTTTGAAATTCAAAGATTTCTTCCATGAGTACTGGTCTATCAGCAAAAAGTCATCCGGCATATTTGTTTCCTATATAAAAATTTTTGGTCGATCACGATTCATCCGGAACGATGGCAATAACTCGGAAGGTGGATTCTAGGCACGCTCTTTACAGTGAAATAACCGTGGTTTTCCAACTTACGAGCGTTTTTCGGATGATAAGCCTCGCTCAAATCGCTCTTTAGTTGGAAAATTTTCAATGAAGGTAGGATGTCAGTGGGATTTTCCATTTTTCCATTGGAAAAATTGTTTTTCGAGATCAGATCAATTTTCCAGAATTGGGCTCGAGCGCATTTCATGATTCTGAGTTCATTTATTCCTCAAAATTTAATTCCATTGCAAAGATGGCAGGAAACGAGAAAAGAATTCACATTTCCTTGGCAGAGAAGAAAAAATATGCGCAGTTTCAAGTGAAGGCACCAAAACGAAAAAATGGTAGGAAGACTGTGATGGAGCTTTATCGAAAGAAGAATGATGGAGGAAGATCTGATCGAGCATTTCCTGGCGCTTCAAATTGATGAAACACAAGCCGCGACCGCGAGGGAGATTGAAGAAGAGCCTCAAGTTCAAGTGACAGAGAGCACCGACACTGCAAAGCCTTTGACTTCGAAATGTCCAGAAAAGCAGTCAAAGATAACAAATTTTTTAATAAATGATTCACTGTGAGTCTGAAAATTTTTGACTGGCACTACAGAAAAGACAACCAGTTTTTTAGGAGCACACTCAAATGCTCGGCGCGCTCATTTGCTCGGGCGCTCAAATGCTCGGACGCTCTTTTGCACGGACACAAGCGAAAGAGTGTCCAAAGCGAATGAGCGTTCAATTTAATTGGACGAAAATTAGCACAAGAATATTTCTCCGAAAATAAACAATTAAAAGTGATCATCAGCGTATTCTCACTCTAAATGCTGTATTTTCTAAATATACGCTTAAATTACTCATTGTATGATCATCTTAACAATTCTGGACAATTATTACATAACACTTGATGACTTATTGAAAAAAAAATAATGTTCACTTTTATTTCTTCCCGGTGATTTCGTGTTTTTGGAAATTGCTCCGAATATATTTCGATTAGGGACCGAACGCAAATCAGGGGTCAAAATTTTAAATCGCTTGAAATGAAAATTTACAATAGTAAATCGAGTATGGCGATCATTTTCTTTCATTACAGTAACCCCGAAAAATGTCCGGAAGACCGAGAAAATCACTGCTCTAACCCTAATTTGGCCATTTTGAGAGTGAAAGAGTCGATGCTTAAGTTTTGGCACCAAAAAAATCGATGGGAATTGATCAAAGGATGAAAATGCCAAAAAATGAAGGTAGGTTTCCAACTGCCTCTTGTTAAGCAAGCATTTTAAAGTCTTCGAGCTTGAAAAATCGAAAAAAAAATGAAAAAAAGAGGAATCGAGCTCGCGCCCTCATGCGAACCCAGCAGAAGCGATATCCACTAGGCCAGCAGTGTTGATGCATGAGGCTTACATTAACCAGGATTTATACTTGTTTTTGATTATTCTCAGAACATGACAGACCTTCTCATTGATCGTTTGCCAGTTAACAGAATCGAAGTCGGCGAAGAAATCATCATGGGTAGACTGTAATCAGTTTGGGTAAATTAAGCTTTCAAAGAAACGAGCTTAAAATCCGCGGAAAAAGGTTTATGTCTGCGAGACGCGAGTCTATGAGACCTGGGCCGGTACTGTTACGTTTATTACGTAACATGTACTAATGTTAGGTTCTGTTTCGAGAGTGATCTTATGCCGCAACGCGAAATTTTGCAACATGGCATTTCTGCGAAATTTTTTTTTTCTGTTATTTTTAATAATTAAGAGAATAATATAATTCAGTTTAGAGAAATTGCTAAATATTTTATCCTCGCCAAATACATGAAGAAATTCTTCATCCGTCACGACAAGAAAACCGACTTCTGGAAGTTTTTCGCTGGTTTGTTGGCCGCTGGTGATGCCGCCGGTGCTACATCCATGGCTTTCGTCTATCCCCTCGACTTTGCCAGAACTTGATTGAGCGCTGATGTCGGGTAGGTGACCGAAAAGCATGTACTTTAGAAGTTTATGCGTGAGTTCAGAGCGCTTCTGATCGACAATTCAACGGAATCCGCGACTGTATGAGAAAGATCTACAAGGCCTACGGTATCACCGGTCTCTACTAAGACTTAACCATCTCCGTATTCGGAATCATCATCTACAGAGCTTGCTTCTTCGTCTCTACCATAGAATGAAGGTAAAAAATTCCGACAAAACTCTTAAACAAGCTCTTTAGGGCTCTCAACGAATGTACAGCGGCTCTATCGACTGCGCTAGAAAAATCCTCGCCAACGAACTCAAGCAGTTTAGCTGTTAACTCTCAGGCTGACAAAGAATTAATATCATTATTTATTTATTCTATTAACATACATAATAATATTGTATTGTTATAATAGATTTTTTCTAAAAAATTTAAAACTAAAAGAAAGAATTTCTCTAGTTGTAAAACATTTTGGAACAATATTCGGCATATTTTTGGTGGTTGAATGCTCTTAAGGGATCCCCCCTGATTTCGCCAACTTTGACCTCTATCTACATTTTCTGAGCTTACGTAGGAAGCTGGTTTTGGGCGCATTAGAAAGCCCGCTTCGAAAGGAGCAAATTCTGGTAGAATCAGCTTGCCAGCAAAACATTCGCTTAGATGAAATTAAAAACATCATTTGAGGCAAAATTTTTCAAAAAATTTTATTGCTCCATTTGAAAGAGTAAAAATTCTGAGTCGAATGAACTATTTCCGGCTCTATAATTTAACAAAATGACGTCATTATGAGTCATTCTGCTCAAAAACTTTTGGGCCGATTTTGAAGGGGTTTTCGATGGATTTTTCGGAGTTCTTAGGCTCATGAAAATCGCCATCGAAAATTGAGGTGGGGTTTTGAAGCATTTTGAGAAATATTTAGGGAACCACCCTCAATTATCGGATAATCAGCATTATCGGATAATTGAATAAAAAATTCTAGTTGTAAAACTTTTTGAAACGATTTTTAACGTTATTTGGGTGTTAGAATGCTCTCTAGCGCCAACAACTGGCCGAAAATTCTAGTGCGGTTATTATATTCGTAATCTTCACATTCTAAGCTTTCGAAAGAGCCCTTGGTTGTGTTATTTCGATGACAATGAAAAATCGAAAAAATTGCGATTTTCACGCTTAGTACAATTAATATGCATTTTCCTGAACTTTGGGAGCCAAAATTTTGGGGATGCATTTATGTAAAGGGGTACTATGATATATCAAAATGATCCTCAGAATACGAGGAATCTAATCATAGGCGATAATGACCGGTGCCAAAGTTTTGAAAAATCGGGGGGGTGATCCCTTAAGCGCCAACAAATGGCCAAAAATTCTAGTGCAGTTATTATATCCGTATTCGAAACATTCCAATCTTTCAAAAATCCCCTTATTTGTCCTCTTTTGATAACGACAAAAAATTGAAAAAAATTGCGATTTTCGTGCTAAGTGCATTCAATTCAGTCAGAGACGGGGCCTAGCCGACCGGAAAGGGAGGCCTCTCTAACAGTTCACTTCAACCAATACAGTCATGTACTTGGCCAAGCCGACCCGAAAGGGAGTTGAGCTCATTTCATTCAATACGGTCAGGTACGTGGCCAAGCCGACCCGAAGGGGAGGCCAGTTCATTTCATTCAATACAGTCATGTACGTTTCCAAGCCGACCCGAAGGGGAGGTCAGTTCATTTCAATCAATACGGTCAGGTACGTGGCCAAGCCGACCCGAAGAGGAGGCCAGTTCATTTCAATCAATACAATCAGGTACGTGGCCAAGCCGACCCGAAGGGGAGGCCAGTTCATTACATTCAATACAGTCATGTACGTGGCCAAGCCGACCGGAAGGGGAGGCTAGTTCGTTTCATTCAATACAGTCAGGTACGTGGCCAAGCCGACCCGAAGGGGAGGCCAGTTCATTTCATTCAATACAGTCAGGTACGTGGTCAAGCCGAGCCGAAGGGGACGGCAGCTCATCTCAATCAATTCAGTCTTATACGTGGCCAAGGCGACCTGAAGAGAAGGCCAATTCATTTCAATCAATTCAGACTTGTACGTGGCCAAGCCGACCCGAAGGGGACGCCAGTTCGTTTCATTCAATACAGTCAGGTACGTGGCCAAGCCGACCCCAAGGGGAGGCCAGTTCATTACATTCAATACAGTCAGGTACGTTGCCAACCCGACCCGAAGGGGAGGCCAGCTCATTTCAATCAATACAGTCAGGTACGTGGTGAAGCCGACCCGAAGGGGAGGCCAGTTCATTTCATTCAATACAGTCATGTATGGGGTTGCGCCAGTGGGAAAATGGACTTTTTTTGCACTTGACCTGGAGGGATGAAATTTTGTGGACATATTTCTGAGGTCCTAATCAAGAAAAAAATCAAAAAAAATTTTCGAAAAATTAAGGGTATAGGGGTCGAAAATCGATTTTTTCATTTTTGCAAAATTTAGCCTTAGAAAACCTAGACTATCATTTTAAAAACTCAAAAATAAATTTTTCGAGTCAAAAAAGTCGAAGCGAGATAGAGAATCCGCAAATAAAAAAATTAAAATTTTAAAACATTCAAATAAAAACCATAATAAAATGAAAAACTTGAATAATTTGTATTTCCACCTCGAATGGGTGTGGGTGGGGTTGGGGACATAACTGAGATTGATCACCTCAGAGTCCAACGCCGATCTCAAGCCCCTTAAATTTAAAAATCAAGGAACGGGGCTGAGACGGCCCCTTCTTTACATTTTTGAGCATTATTTAGTATATTTTTCCAAAGAAAGGCGATTTTCGGCCAAAACGGAAATTTTCAAATCGGCCGCATTTTCGTTGCCGGGCGTTACCGGACGAGATTAGAATGGATCTATAGAGAGCATCGTCTGAGCTTTCTTGTGGTGGTCTCCGTTTGGTTGTTGGTTGTTGTGGTTTCGAGTTATTCGACGAAATGTCCAAAATTCGTGGTTTTTTTTCGAAAAAATCGCGATTTTACCACCAAAATTCAAAAATTTCTAATTTTAACTATTTTTTATGAAATCTCCGCCAATTTTTACACATGGTCACGTGGTTTCAGAATTTTTTGAAAACAAACCATTTTCGGCCAAAATCCCACCAGCGCAACCCCAGTCATGTACGTTGCCAAGCCGACCCGAAGGGGAGGCCAGTTCATTTCAATCAATACAGTCAGGTTCGTGGTCAAGTCGACCCGAAGCGGAGGCCAGTTCATTTCAATCAATACAGTCAGGTACGTGGCCAAGCCGACCCGAAGGGGAGGCCAGTTCATTTCAATCAATACAGTCAGGTACGTGGTCAAGCCGAACCGAAGCGGAGGCCAGTTCATTTCATTCAATACGGTCATGTAAGTGACCAAGCCGACCCGAAGAGGAGGCCAGTCCATTTCAATCAATTCAATCAGGTACGTGGCCAAGCCGACCCGAAGGGGAGGCCAGTTCATTTCGATCAATACAGTTAGGTACGTGGTCAAGCCGACCCGAAGCGGAGGCCAGTTCATTTCAATCAATTCAGGCCAGTTCAAGGTGCCCAGCTTCGGCTTCAGTACATTCGATACAGTCAGAGACGGGGCCATGCCGACCCGAATGGGGCGCCACCCACTACATTCAATTCGGTCAGAGCCGGGGCCAAGCCGACCCAAATGGGGCGCCACTCAAGCACATTCAATTCGGTCAGAGCCGGAGTCAAGCGGACTCGAAGGGGGCGCCACTCAAGCACATTCAATTCATTCAGAGACGGGTCAAAGCCGACCCGAAAGGGGCGCCACTCAAGCACATTCAATTCAGTCAGAGCCGGAGCACAGCCGACGCAAAGGGGAGGCCACTCAAGCACATTCAAATCAGTCAAAGCCGGGAGGATGCTGATCCGAAAGGGGCGCCATTCAAACACATTTATTTCAGTCAGAGCCGGGGCCAAGCCGACCCAAAAGGGGCGCCACTCAAGCACATTCAATTCGGTCAGAGCCGGGGCCAAGCCGACCCGAAAGGGGCGCCACTCAAGCACAATCAATTCGGGCAGAGTCGGGGCCAAGCCGACCCAAAAGGGGCGCCACTCAAGCAAACTCAATTCAGTCAGAGCCGGGGCAAGCCGACCCGAAAGGGGCGCCACTCAAACACATTCAATTCGGTCAGAGCCGGGGCCAAGCCGACCCGAAAGGGGCGCCACTCAAGCACATTCAATTCGGTCAGAGCCGGGGCCAAGCCGACCTAAAGAGGAGGCCACTCTATCACATTCAGCTCGTATGATTTTTCTTATAAAATGTTTCTGCTTAACTCTATATTATTATTGTGGTTGTCAATGAATCATTCACTGAAATAAAATTCATTGGAGCTCACTATCGATTCGAAGAATATCATGCAAAATTTGAAGGTTGTCATGAAAAAAGGCAAATCTGAATTCGCCAAAAAATCGATGCTTGAAAGCTCGTCACCTTCTCTAAACCTGGATTCAACAATAGAATCTATTGATGAGGGGGACACTCAAAATAATCAATCCTTCCGCCCTGATGAAGATGAAGCTCAATCTTCAATGGCTCAATCTGCTTCTCAGAATGACGACGATTGCTCGCCACCTCTACTTGATCATGATAAAACAATGGAATCTATTGATGGAAGTGACAGTGAAAGTCCGATTTCGGTTTCGAATGGCTCTGAATCTCAAGGCTTTGATGAAGAGTTAAGTCAATCACTGAACATGTCTGTTGAGATCGCTTCTTCATATGTAAACAATGAAAGTATTCATCCGATGCACTCATCCGATGATGAAGAGATCGAATGCCGGGATATAACTGATGAGTCCGATCCCGACTTCGATATTACACTTCAAGAAGGAGAGATTTGGTTTAATCTGCCAAGGGGGGAGCCAAACTATCTCCAAATTCTAGATCAGCCAGTCATTCCCCGTACAATCGTCACTCGTTCAAGTCAAGCAGAAACTCGCTATGCGCCTCCTTGTACACAAGCCGCTGTCAATGAGGCCGGTTCTCATATTTGCGAGACGCTCCTTAACTCTGAAGCTCATCCCAATGAGTCTATTCAAGATAACACCGATGTAATGGATCAGTTCGATTATACAGAAGACGATTTCTTCTCATTCTCTGAAGATATACCAATAATACAAGTCCAGAAACCAGCTGAGCATGATGAGAATTGTATTGAGCCGAATGAGGAAAACACCCCTGAAGTCGATGAAACTCCGAATGGAGAAAATGACATTCAAGATGATGAGGAAATCGTCACAGTTAGGATGAAAAGAGGAGACTACAAAAAAGTCAAAAGCCTCCTCAATTTTTTTGTTCTCGAGCAGACCAGAACGTCAACATCGACGGGGCGGGGCAGTGGTTCGAAGAAGACTTTTAATGATAAACTAACGATCTTCTTAATTCGTTGCTTGAGTCGAGGTGTTCTTGCATCTTCAGTTAAAGTCGTACTTGATGAGGTTGCAAAGATGAACCCAATCCTAACAAGAGATGGAGGACTCGCTGTTAATATTGAGGGCGATTCTGAATCTAACGAACTTCATGAACGACAAGTTCCATCGGAGAGATACATTCAATTGTCAAGAGACTACCTTCCAAGTAAAAAGACTCCAAATTTCATCATTTTATTTTTATAGCGTTCAATGAACATCATCTTGAGAATTTCGTCAGCAGATCATCGCAAATAATTGTTGCATCGGATGCGACTTGTTTAGCGAACAAACGCAAAGGCATGATTTCATATTTAACTAGACACGCGGCGTTATGGAGCGGTTCGCTGTTAAATGCGATTCACACATATTTTGTTGAAGTCTTTCTTGAGCGTTCGGTATTGGCTTGCTCAACGAAGAGCAAGATTTTGTCTGCCTTAGTTTGAAGGATACAAATGTCTCAGATGCAAGTGAGATCGCGAAACACATCGATGATCAAATCGACTCCTTCGTTTTCGCCGATGTTCTAAGAACGAAGACAAAAGCATTTTTGAGTGACATGGGAGGTTTGGCTCATGAATTACTTCTCAGTCCGTATATGGTCATATTATTAGGTGGACAGGTCCAAGTAAATGAAGAACTCAAGTGCTTGTGGAAGACTTCGAGCAATGACATTATCTCCATTATATATTGCTCGATGCATACAGTGCATGGGTGGATAATTTTTAATCAAATCATTTTTCAATTTTTCAATAACAGGCGGAATTACAAGCGGATTCATTAAGCCAGATTTGCTCTACAATAAAATGGAATAATGGTATATTTCAAAATATCCATCCCTGATACAGTGATGAATTCGCTGAACGCGCGATACTGCCAAGACAGGGAGTGCATGCTGCATTAATATTTCTATTTAACTCATAAATATAATAAAACCTTGTTGGTCACCCCAAGCAAAGATTTCTTATCCGAGAATACGAAACTGGTTCTTGAAATAGTTGCCCAGTGCCTAGGACATCGTCGAGGAGCACCAAATTATCATCAAGATGATGTGCAGGACAGGATCTGAAATCTCACGAGCTTTTTTGCTCACGTTTGCTCATGCTCACTGAAATTTGAGCACCCATGTTGAGCACCAGAGCAGAATTTTTAAGATTTCAGACCCTGGTGTAGGATGAGCTTGAAGTTCTTTTGAGAAGAAATCAAGTAAGACCTCGAAAATACTTCGCTCATTCACTTGGAAATCGTTACGAGGCTCCATTCATTAATGCTACATCTATATTAGAAAGGGATCTTAAAATATGTCTCATGAGTGATGTCTTCTTTTGTTCATGTTTTCAGCGATTCAGAATAATTGCGATCATTTAAATCCCTACGCAGCATTAAATAAGCATGTGGCAGAGTTGTTTAAAAAACTCAGTTACAGCAAATCAGACGGTCGTTTTCGAGAATTATCGGACAAGCTCAACGGTCATGGGAATCGGCAATTGTACTTAGAGTTGTCTGTAATGCTTTTGGTCTTTCATGGAATCGTTGGGCCATTTTGGAACGTGGCCCGTAAGAAAACTATCACCTTTCTACAAGGAAAGGTGAGCTGCGAAAATGATGCCTTATTACTCTTAATGATATATAAAGGAAGCTTTTGCGCTTGTTCTGCAAAAAATAGACGCTGCCTTGGGCGGTCGTAAATTGCGTCTCGAAAACTGCTACAATAGACTTTGGAATGAAGTCGAAGGCAGGCATATAAATTCGCTAGTAAAGAAATGCTTTTTCTTCGCTTTTTTGCTGATAAAATTTTCGCTTTCACTTCGCGTTTAGTTGAGGGTTTTTCGAGAGAGAGATTTATATGCCTTGTCTAAGGCGTAATCACTGGAGACCATGAAAAACAAGCGCTCGAATTCATGGAGAGATTCCGAGAGGATATTATGGTCGCGAATACATCATTTAAGCAAATCAGACATCAAGTGAACAAAACAACCTTCGACATACTGAGTAACGTCAGGATAAAATTCGCCAAAGACGATCAACTCTTCAGACAAAATAATTTGAAGGACAATTTTTGTCTAACAATGTCAAATCAAAAATGCGAAAGCATATTTGGAGAGGATCAAAAAAAAAATCAATTACTAAAAAGCATAATTGAAAAACTATTTTTTTTTTCATCCTACTACAGGAAGATTGAAATATATGCACAGTGTTTGTCAATCCCTTGACGGGGAACGCGCGAACGCTGTGACAATTTCGAAAGCTAATTCTCTTCACGATTACATTGACGATTTAACACCCGCTGATGGAGCAGAATTATTATTGAAAGCTCGATCTTCACGAAAAAGGCACACTGAAAATGTTCGAGCTTCGAAAATTTCTGCTAAATTGAAAAAATTGTCCGATATTGAATCAAAACTGCCACGAAATTTTTCCTCATAAATAGAATCTGTCAAAAATATCAATCTAATCTTATTCTCCCTTCAGAGTAACTCATATTTTCTACTTATGCTATGAGTTTGTCGGTTGCGCATCCATTCGGTTATCTCACTCATATCTTTTTTTTTTTACAGAATGAACTCGGTAGCTTTTTCCGCTAACAACAAATCGAAGTGGCAACGTCCTTGTTTTCGAAATTGTGATGTTGTTGTTATCACCGACAGTTGGGTTTGTGAATATTAAAAAGAAATTTTTTTCATCATTTACTAGGGAAAATATATTGCAACGAATCCAGCCCTTGTTACTGGCAATACACGCATCAAGATTGTTGCATATTCTGGAGCCGGCTTTTTCGAAATCGCCTCGCTACTTCGATCTGGAGCGGTCGATCCTCATAATCTTACTCTCGAGAGTCATTACAAAGAGCCGGGTACCCTCCGAATCCCTGGGAAAAATCTGATATCCAGGGATTCGGAGGGTCAAATTCGAAATGTTCTAGAAATGTGTTGAAGCTGTTAAACATCAGTTTCATAAATAAGTTTTTCTAATAATTTGTTAGGGTAAAAAGCAAAACGACTTTAGCCACGTTATATAATTTTCCCATTGTACCAAATATTTATAAGATAACACTATTGGTTCTATTGAAATGATTTTCAAGCCTTAAATTCCTCAGTTATATCGTCTGAAGGTTATTGGAGCTTATGTCGGTAGGAAAAATATATTTTTGCTTTCATTCAATTTTTTCCCTCTAAAGGTTAGTGTTAAGTTCAATCTGCTACATAAATAATCTCATAAAATGCAACTGTCATTTAAATATTTGGAATTATGACAGATAAAAGATGCTTTTTTATCGGTTGAAGGGGGTTTCTAGAACATCACCCTCCGAATCCCTGGACTTCAGGCTAAAATCCAGGGATTCGGAGGGTGTCCAGGGATTTGGAGGGTCACCCCAAAGAGCGACAGCGCATGAAGGAAGATCTATGCAGAAAAAAAACTCTTCTTGCCCATAAGGGTTTATGGGTCTGGTTCTTTTATAAGTTAAAGAATTGAACTTTATATTAAGACAAACGAAAATAAAAAAATGAGGAGCGTGGATTCGAGCCGCCAAAATAAAATCAAACAAAATCAATGGCGTGAACTCAGTGGTGGAAGAATGAGTCGTCACGAGTGCACAATGAATTGGCATTTCTGTGGCCAGGCAAGAAAGCAATGGCAGAAATTTGCCAAGATGACTGTAGAAGATAAAGCAGCCGAATCTCGCGTCAAACACTGGCGTGAAAATATAAAAAAACGCGATGAGGTCAAAATCTTCCGGAAAAAAATGTCTGAAAATGGATGCAGGAACCGGATCTTCTGATCTATTTAAAAAGTTACCTTTAAGTACAGAAAATTTTAAATGCAAAAATTGATGATCTTTGAACAGGATGCACAAATATCGACGGGCGCGAGCGTCTTATCCCATCACTGAGATCGATAATCAGCGAAGACTTCTCAACAATAATCAATGCTGCATTGACAATGCATGACATGCAGCTACAATTGCTTCCGTTCCTTCAAGGGAAGACTTGTGTTCTTTTTGGGCCTCAATAACATTTCTGATCACGTAAATCCTCATTTTTCTTTCTCTTTCTATTATATTCTTAGAAACCAATTGAACAGGGGTTTCAGACTCTCATGAAGTCAGTAAACGCTATGTTCCCTTCAACAACCGTCACTTTCATCCCCCCTCCACTACCTCCTATTTGTTTTTCAAGAAGATATTTGACATCTCGATATTTCCAACTAGTCGAAACGGTAACAATTTTCTTTCATATTGATGACATATTTTGTTCAATAGCTCCTCAATTCGAAAAAATGTGGTCCAGCAGTGACTTTGAAGAATTATCAATGGAACGATTCAATTCATCTACAATCATCTTGCTGTACACTTTTTTGGCGAGAAGCGTTCAGACATTTGCACCTGTAATTCCATCATATATTTTTTCTGTAAATAGAATGAAAATGTTTTTGGATATTTTATCAAGCTAACGCCCTTATTTCAGACTGGTCCGTCCTATCAAGATACATAAGGCAGTGGAAAAAGAAAAAAAATAATGTCGGCAGTGGTGAAGTGACAGCGCCACTGCCCTTCGAATCTACCTTGTAAGTAAGTTTCCTATTAACTCAAAGTAGATTCGATGAAAGACTATAGTCAATTGACTTGGCCTCCTCAGATACTGTTTTCTGTATGAGTCACCGAAAAAATACTCATACAGTAGGCTGTCTATATACATTCCAATATATTCCAATTAAAGAGCAAGATTTTCGGCTACCGGCAGGTCAGCAGCCAATCAGCGATCATTCTTGGTTTTCTGGCTATATTGGGTACATGTAAAAACTCTTAAACTCGTTAAGTCTTAAACATAAGCAGGATATCAGATTAACGGGTTTAAGAGAGATTAGACAGGGGTATATGAGGTTGGTCAAGTCAGGTTTAGCGGCGGGCGTCAGCCTACGCATGTTGGCCTCATTTTCAAGTGTAGGATGTCTAGTCAAATTGTAGGACTAGGCGTATATCAATAAGACGGTACGTGGGGGCCGGCTTGAAACCGAGGCCATCGGAACTGCAATGGTGTAATTTACTGTCGAGTGGCAATGATTTTTTTAGGATCTTGAAGTCATTTTTTTTTAAATCAATTTTCGGAACTTCAAAATTTTCTCACAATCTGACAAAAGGGTCCTTAAGGACACCCCCTGTCAACAGTTTTCGAAAATCTATTTCCGGAATTTTGATATTTTGACCCCGGAATTGAATACTACCGGTCAAAAACGATTTTGAGGCTTCATTTTTTGGGGGTCGATCTCGACTCTAACACCCTCGAAATGCCTTTTGAAAAAGGGACAAAAATGACGAAAAAGTCCAAATTTTGCTAAAATTTTAGATTCATAGTCGTAAAAAATTGCTCCGGACAAGTTTTTATGATGATTGAACTTCCAGGCACATTAAGAAGCGAAAACATGGCTGTTTTGAAATTTTCAATTTTTTGAGGAAAATTGTTGACAGATGGATCCTTAAAACGGGGGTGGTGGTCACTCGGCAGGTATCGTATCTTGATAGGATGAAACCCTGCGGCATTCTCCTGACTTGATAATGAAAATAAAAATGAGTCAGGAGATAGCCGTAAGGGTACAGCCCGATGTGGAATCCCACCGTTCGTCCATTTTTGGTCTTTCTAAAGCAGAGCTAAGGATCAACCTAGAACGCTCTGCTTCAGATTTTACGATCTTCCACCGGAGTTAGCTTAGGGGGGGGCTGCTTTTTTGGCTTTTCAAATGGGAGTTTTCAGAGTCTCATTCGACCTTAAAATGCACGTAGAACTCAAATCTGGTACTTCTTTATATTTTATCATTTGAATTTTTCTCTTTAGAGCGATTTTAAATCTTACTCTCTCGATTACTCGAAATTTTTTGTATAAATCGGTCGAGATTTTTCGATAGATAAGTTTTTTAGACCGTTATCTACAATTTTGATGGTTTACTTTTCGTTGAAACCGAAGGAAACCGATTCTAGAGCCATTTCATTCAGGGCTACTCAGCGCGTAAAAGCTCTACAAAGCGGCGCGCTGGGTGCTCCCTCACTCGACTCCTCTTTTCCGAAAGAATTTTCGTAGTTGAGCGCACCGCTTTGATTAGTAGCACGCAAAAAACGCGCAGAGAAGAAAAACAGGGGTCTGAAAGAGGAGAACACTAAAATGAAAATTCGGGCGAGTTTTAGAATGTCATCCCATCAATTTTTGTAGCTTAGCGTCATAACAATACAGTTCACGGTTCAATTTTAGCGATTTATGGTAAAAATGTCGAGAAATCGAGAGAGTTCGTTTTCAAATCGCTCTAGAGGAAAAATTCAAATGAAAACTTTTAAAAGAGTACCAGAATTGAATTCTACGCACAATTTTAGGTAGGATTGCTATTGAGATAAATTTGATCCAACTTCGTATTTAGGCACTATGAAAGTTCATTTTATCGGGTGTATCCTTAATTTTATAGGCTAAACTACTATGCGCCATAAGTAAGCCCCCGTACTATGCTAACTGGGCGTTAGCTTGTTTTCAAATCAATCGAATTTTAAATAAATTAATATAAATTTCAATTTCAATTTAATAATATATGCTAATCTTTATTAGGCAATGATATTTAAAAAGACACATCCGACGAATCCAAGTTGCGAGGGTCTTTTCTCCTTCACCGGTAAGCGATAGACGCACAACCCATATTCACTGAATCAATTAACTCAAGCTGAAACGAATCTTCATTTAGGCTCCTTCCACCAACTGGAGAACTTCCTGCTCCAGAACACCAAGACGCGCCAGTTCATCGAAAATCTCAACCAGACCAACAGCAAAGTAACCTCCAGCAACTGAGCTCCAAGATGAAGTTCTTGTCCTTTTTTTGAATCTGCAAAAGTTCCATTCTCCAATTTGTCCAAATTCCCAAAATGTTTCAATCACTTTTCAAACTCGAAAAATAAAAAAATTGAATTAAAAAAAGGAAGACAAATATTGAAAATTTACTGGAAGGCAGGATATAAAAAGCAAGAATCTTAAATTTAGCAAAAAAAAGCAAGATTTAATGATTATTTTTAATGAAAATTCAAAATAGAATTAATCTTTTTATTGAATTCGAGAAGGTTCCAGAAGGTTCCAGAAGAATAAGCGCAATAAAAGCCGGCCGCGCAAAACTTAGAACAAAGGCCTTCAAAGCTTGGCGGCGCAACAGCGCCCCCATCGATTAAAAAAAAAATCGTCGTTTATCAGTAATTGAGCCATTTTCAGCCTTTACTGTAATTGAAGAAAATGATCAGAAGGATCGATTTTATATACTAAATTTTTTTTTCGAGGAATTTTAAAAATGGTCGGATTTGCGTTCGGTCCCTAATTTCGATAAAACTCTCAGAATTGACACCACTAGGTCATGGTTTATCTCCTGTATAACATTTTTCATCGTCGACCAATTAAATCAAACGCTCATTCGCTTGGACACTCTTTCGCTTGTGTCCGTGAAAAAGAACGTCCCGAGCATTTGAGCGCCCGAGCAAATGAGCGCGCCGAGCATTTGAGTGTGCTCCTATTTTTTAACATCTTTTTTCTTCATTCGAAGTCGAAATTATTCGGCTCCTTTCTAGGCAGGAGTCACGTGTTAAAGCAAATGCCTTTCTTGATCTCTCGTCCAACCTAAAGTTTCGCCACTTAGATTTATTCTTATTGATTCAACACAGCAGAGTGTTCCGCTTCTTATCAAACAATTATTTATAATCGAAAAAAGTAAAAAGATCTTCGGAAAATGTTTTTCTGCCCTTGGCGCTACTGTCCAAGCTCGGTCAGGGGTGGTTCCTGGTTTGGTAAAATTCCTGGTTTGTTAAGAATCATGGTTTGGTAAGAATCCTGGTTTGGTAAAGTTTCTGAAGTCTTACCAAATCAGGAATTTTACCAAACCATGATTTTAAAAAACCAGGAATTTTACCAATCAGGAAAAGGACCTTTTTCTTTCTGTCTCGGCCCCAGAAATTTTTCGACATAATAAGGGGTCCACGCTCAAAAAATAGCTACCCGAAATAATGCTCGTATGATTCTCAAAATTTGATATCTGAAACAACTGTAATAAACAAGGGTTTTGACCCTTTTTGCAAAACAATCCATAAAGGGGTTGAGAAAAATGAGGCCGCAAAGTGGGCAAAAATGCAAAATCACCCAAGATCAAGCGTTTTTTTAAATTTGAAATGATAAAAATATGTTTTTTTGTATTCTTCATTCGAATCTAAAATCAGTTTTTGGAGGATGGCCTAAATTTTATGAAATCTACAATTTTTCGTAAATTCTGAGCCATTTTCAAAGAGCGCGCGGCGTGATGCCTTAGGCGCTCGAAGGGTGTCCACAAAGAAAACAAACCGGGCGCTTCAACTGTCTGAAAGCATAAAATTTAGATTTTGAGGTGCACATCTGGCCCTCCAATTGTTAGCAAAATGACAATTTTAGGAAAGTAAGCGATCCCTGGCTTTTAAATTTTAATGGGCTTGACATAGCCCATTTTATTAGCCCAGTTTAGCTCAGCCATGTCCCCAACCCCACCCTCACCCGTTTTCTTAGTTTGAGTGATTATTCATATATTTTTTTACATTATGGTCTTCACAGAAAAGAAAAAATTTCCAAATTATCTTAAAATTTATGATTTTGTTAAAAATCTGGGTAAGCCTCATCTGCCCAGAAGCCTCACTTGCCCAGAGCCTCATTCTCCCAGAAGCCTCACTCTCCCAGGCTGGGCAGATGAAGCTCCTGGGAGAATGAGGCTCTGGGCAGATGAGGCTTTCAATTGCGTGGTCAAGTTGCGCTGAGCGTTGAGTGGCTGAGGCGGGCGCGCGCGATTTCCGCTCAGAATTATTTTTTTTCCAAGAGAAATATTCAAGAGAATTCTTCTTTGTAAATAACATTTAAACTGATTTTTCTTTATAATTATCCATAAAATCAGAATATTTACCACACAACTATTTCAGAAATCGGACCAAAACGTTAGAAAATCTTAGAGAAAGAGAATCAACGAATGCTCGATGAGAATATGCGTCATCATAAAAGCTGGAGAGTACTGTACAAATGCAAGTCATGCAATCTCGTCTGCTACAAGCACTGCAAAGACCTGATAAAGTTCAGCTGCCAGAATTTCCCTAAAAGTGTCAAGGTCAGTGCTTTTTCTTCTTGCTGTCCTTTTTTCATCCGTTTTTATTCCAGTTTCACCTCATTAAAGCTAAGAATTCAATTTCACAGTTTTATTTTTGAGCATCAAATAGCATAAAATCATGGTGTAGCTTTATTCGGAGTCGGAAATGATTCCTCAGAATCGGAAGAATCAGAATCGGATGATTCAGAAGACGGTCGATCATTTACAAAAATTGTCCGTTATCTCGATGGAACTGGTAGTTCCGGAGCTAATATTAAATAGAATCATAAATTTCATAAAGATAGGTTAAAGAAATTTATGGCTTCGATTTTTTGGATCAGGGTTTTCATTGGCCGCTAGGCAAAATACATCAATCTTATTGGTTATTCAAAAATGCACTTCCATAAATTGCTTTTGTCCATAAACTCACATGGTTCCGGCAGAGGATAATCACTTTCCTCTTCACGATAAGGATAGCTATCTTCCTCAAAGTAAATTTCCTCTTCAGAATTCTCCTCATTCTCTTCCTGAAAGTATTTTTTAGTTAACGAAAGAGGAGTGATAAGGTAACAAAGCTGATAAAATCAACGATAGAAGAAATCTTCGCGTCTTCCAAAACACTGACAACAACCAAAGAAGCAGTTCAAATCTGGCAATTAAGGTAACCGTCAAACTTACATTTCCTTGCTTCCATATTTTATAAATTGAGTCTTCGTAATCGGGCATATGATACTTCTCCCTCAAAAACTCATCAATTCTCTTCTCCTCAGCCTTCAATTCTTCTGACTTAAAGTCTAGCCATGCATCCCTTTCACCAGAAATCAGTGGATAAAGAAAATCATTATGTTTTCGAGCCAAGTTTTTCAATTCCAATCGTTCTTCATAGGTTTTTTCATAAAAGTCCTTCTCCTCCTTATTGGCCATTTCAATTTCTTCTTCCTCCGATCTCATCTTGTCCACCCTTTTTTTAGACCCTTACGTTCCTTCAAATACTGGGCTCTACGCCGTTTCTCTTCTCTGATCATCTGTTTTCTATTTGTTTCTTTTTCAACCTCTTTCTTCTTCTTTTCTGCGTTTTCCTTACGCTCTTTTTTATTTTGTTCAATTTGTTGACGCTTTCTTTCTTTTTCTTCATCCCTTTTCTTTTTCTTATTTTCTGCCTCCTCTATTTCTTCTGGTGTTTTAACCCTTTTTTGGGCCTTTTTTGATAATTGTTTTCAGTTTTTTGAGTTCTTCAGCCGCACTCACTTTCCATGTCTCATTTTTTGGCAAAATCTGAGGGTATTTTTTAGTCTCCACAGTCAACCCAGAAGCTCCGGAAGTGACGTTTATCGGGACACTTGCAACAACTGGACGACGTTCAAGGCCACTTACAGAAGGTAGAGAGTCCAAAATGATGTTTTCATTTACATGAGCACTTTCCGCAAAGATGATAAGCGAATTTGTATTCTTTGGAGAAATCCCGTTCAGTGACTTTTCTGACTTCGACTTGCAATCGAAATTACAAGAAATGCGTTCGAGTTGCGAAAATGGACTACTGCGGTCATTTGATGAAGCAATGTTTTGACACTCGGGCGTCAATGTTGCTGGTACTTCATCAATAGTAAGTCGATTATCGTGAAGCTCACATTCTCCATTTTCAAAAAGCTGATCAATTTGATCATCATTGAAAATTTCAGCAGGCGCCACTTCCACAAGCTCAACCACTTCGTCACCTGGAGTAGCGGATGGGTATAAAGGTTGCTCCTCTGGCGTTATGGTAAGCTTAATTTATTTCAGTCATTGAAAATTAAAAAAGTACTCATATCACTTGTTATTTCTATAATACAAGACAAGAAATATGAACTTCTTTTTGATTCTTTAACAAAGGCGATGAGTTGATCCTTGTTCTTTAACATCTGCTCTGCTTTTTTTTTGAACAGAACATTTTAAGACACGTGTCTAAGGCAAAGGGCTTAATCTCATCATAATCAGCCGAAGTAGTCATTTTTTCATGTAGCCGTCGAAGTAGTTCAAATCTCAAAAGGTATCCAAGTTTTTGACCACGTTTTTGTACTGGAAGAAGAACATCAGTTTCAGAAAGGTCATTTTTGATACGCTTTATTTTTTCCGCTCGTACCAATTCTATGACTTTTTTAAGGTCATATACTTTTCCAATTCCAGCAAAAGTCAAGCATGCATGCTGAAAATAAATATTTTTTAGGTCTTTCCTTGATTTCAACTGACCCAACACTCGACACTATTGTTTGTCGCGTCGACAACGTTCTTCGAAGCTTGACGAGCTACTTCAGCACTCCATGTTGTAAGGGAGAATATCCCTTACAATAGTGTCTGAGTGGAGAGAGCAGTATCCTGTTCTCAGTAACAGAGACTTACCCGGTGTTTGGTCGCCGGAGGGCGCTAATTGAGTGAAAATGCTAGGCAAGAGTTGCTCTTGCCCGTAGCAAATGCCTGTGATCATTTCTGGTTACTTCCGGTAACTTCCGGTTCACTTCCGGTGACGTCAGGTGACTTCCGGTTCACTTCCGGTTCACCTCTAAATCATTGCTATAAGTGTACATCCATTCATATACCTTACAAGAGCATAACTGAGCTAATGCTCACTTGAAACAGCGCCACCTGGTACATGCTCTCGCGCCCCACCTAGTGTCAGCTCTCGAGCGACACCTAGTGGACACTCAGGAATAGCTCTCTAGTGACCTCTAGTGGTGGC